AGCTAGAGGTCTGCAGACTTTAAAAGGCTTGGCCAAGTGGTGACTAGTCCATCTGTGTCTCTACAGAAGTCTTTATCAGTCAAGGAAGGGGACATGTGGTGATCGTCCTCGTCTGAAATGCAGTGATCTGTGAAGTTCTGATGTTCCCGGGATCTTTGGTGATTTAGGTTTAGGACAATGACTAGGGACTTCTGGATGCCTTTGGTGGGTGTTGTGAGGAGCAGGACTAAGCTGGGTCCCTGGCATGTGTATAAATACGGTGGATTTGATGGTGTGTGCTTATAATCCCAGAGTTAAGGTTGTAGAGGCAGGAGAATCTCCAGAACTTGCTGACCAGCCAGTCTAACCTATTCGGTGAGCTCCAGACCACTGAGAGAGACACCCTGTCTTAAAAGAAGGTGGATAGCATCCCTAGGATGAAACCCAAGGATGTTCTCCAGCCCCCACATCCATGTAAACATACACACACACACACACACACACACACACACACATGTGCATGCACACATCCACACACACACAAAAAAACAATAAATAACACAACTCACGCTAAGTGCTTTGCACAATGCCTGGGTCCTGGCAAGGTGGGAGCCAAGACGGAGGGAGCCAAACCCATAGGAAAGCAAGAAGAGTCTCACAGTTTAGAGTGTGCTTTTCCAAACCTTTCCCAGCCTGGAGTGCTGCTAATAGTTAGACTCAGTGTTCGAACCAGGCACTAAGCTTCATTATCAGCCCGTCCTGCCTAAGTGCTGTGTAACCCATAAGGTCATGTAATGATGCATGTCGCTGTATTTTATCATCTGTCCTAAAACACAAACAAAAAAATACCTCACAGGGGAAATTCTTCTGATTTCAGAGGTAAAGGGGCCTGAGGTTTAAAGAAAAGCAATTTTCCACTTCGAATCTTTAAAAACATTGAACTTAATTGGGATGCAATTAACATTTAGATTAGTAGAAGTCTCAAACCTCCGCTGTGGCTCTCAGCTCTCTGGTGTCACAGAATTCCCAAGTCCCTCTAGGGGACTCAGGCTGCTTGTTCCTGTGGCCACGGAAAGAGAATTCTGCCTGGATGTTGGCGCACGCCTTTGATCCCAGCACTCGGGGAGGTGGATCTCTGTGAGTTCAAGGCCAGCCTGGTCTACATAAGCACATTTCAGGCCAGCCAGGGTGACATAATGAGAACTTGTTTCCAAAACAAAGAAGTGGAGGGGTGAGGAGAAAGAAAGAAAAAGCTGAATTCTGGCCCCAGGTCACCCACAGGGAGGGACCCAAGCCACATCAATGCTGTACTGAATCCCACTTTGAAACCTAACTCCTGAGCAGTTTCCAGTTTTTGCCATTTTTTCCCCAGATTCATTCTTTTCTCTGGCATCCTTCAAACACAACTTTTACAGCCTTTTTCTTTGTTTGACTCAGTGGCCTCCCAGTTCCTGTCCAGTTTCCCTAACGTGTCCCTGTTCCTAAGGTCTCCTTCCTATTTGACATCTCCCAGGTGTTCTTGTAATCAGGGCCCCAGAGCAGCTGGACCGCTGGTACCCAGGCTGCTCGCCTTTCTCGGGGCTTCCTGGGCTGTGGAATGCTGAACAGGAGAGCTGGCAGAGGTGTGTTGTCCAATGTTAGGCAGTAATGCTTTTAACTAGAACTATGTATGTGGCTGGAAGCTTCCTGCCATCATTAATCAATTACGGCTGCAGGGTAGGAGCCTATTTCCTTTTCCGGTGTCTCCCTAAGACACCACTGGGAGCTTGCTTGGGAACTGAGGCAGGTGACTTGGTCCCCTGCATCTGCTGGGTCTCACTGGGGTCACCACAGGAGAGCCTTTGCTCACAGATTCGCCCCCAGCAGTTAATCCATGACACCAGCTGCCCCCTGCCTGTTCAGAGAATTATCCAGCCCCCCCCCAACTCTCTGAGCATTGCCACGTGCCAAGGCCCCTCATATTTCCCTGTGGTTGACGTGCCCAGTCCCTTTCACCACCCTTGTTCAGGACCATCAGCTGCCCACCAGGACATTCTAAGCCTGCGACAGGCACTGAAGGTCATTTTTTTCCCTGTAAATGCATAGAAATGATTAGAAAAGCCTCCACCCTGCTGCCAGGAATCATGGGGGATTAGGAAGGTGGGAACGAGCCAGCAGACCACTGCTATCGGAGGTATGGCCAGGGCCCCCCAGCCAGCTAGCATCAATTTAGAGAATGTTCTTGGGTTTTTAACCACATCACCTGTGGAAGTCCTGCTTGCATACAGGCATATCCGCTCCTCTAGTAAATTCCTGTTAGTTCCGACAGTTGAGAACAAATAAAAACTAACATGGTCCCAAATGAAAATGGGCCAGAGCCCACGGGACCTGCTCCTGGATTGGATGTGCATGGCTTTCTGAGCTGGGTAGCTGGCTAGATAGTCGTCTAGAGAGGCTCACATTTGATAGAGAATAACAGGAAGTCTTCAGGGAGAAGGCGTACCTGAGATACCAGCCAGGTCTAGCGGGCATCTATTGCCGACGGTGGGAAGTGGCCATTTTTTGCACTAACGCATACAGTTGGCTCTTGAGCCTTCAGGCGAAAGATTTGGGATGCACAGGTCATGAGCCATGGAAGGGGAGAAGAGGTGTTGTGAGCACAGGATTGGGGTAATAGAGGCCCTTGATACCACGGAGGAGCCTGTGGGAGCTTCTCACCCAGTAACCACCGTGAACTCATGCAGAAGACGTGAGAAGCAGTCGGTGGCGAACAGCTCAGTGAGCCTGCAGTTTTAGTTGCATTTTGTCAGCCAAGAGTTTTCAGCAAGACACCATCTCTAAGGGAAATAGCCTCCAGGCCAGGCTTTGGCAGAGCCAGGTGCCAAGCCCCACCCTGAAAGAACTCGATTCCCAGAGTCCTCCTGGAACCCCTAAGACTCGCTGGTTTTCCTTGTGGAGAGAGTTCCACAGCATGGCTTGGCTGGATTTAAAGATTTCCCAGCTAAAAATGAAAAGGCCTACCCCGAGGAAATGGGCCACACGGAGTGAAATCTTGTCCTTCCCGGGTGCAAATGACCCCTGTGCACAGTGCACGTGGCTTTTGCTGAGAGCCACGCCCCTGAACCGCACAGGATCTCCACACAGGATCCGCAAAGCCAGGTGCACTCCTGAAGGTGGATGCTGGCCGGACGTGTGCTTCTCTGCTCCTGGCTTATCTCTCTCTCCCATTTTCCGCGCTCAGCTGTCAAGCAGAAAAGTTGATGCTTGGAATAATAGCTTTATAGTCTTGGGGGGAAATCTGGCCGATTCAGATATTTCTCCCTCCTTGGGCATTCTTCATCGTTGTAACCCTGCCGTTCTATACACGGTAGACCGGTGTCTTGGGAAGATGGTGTTTGCTTGTTTAATTTTTTGAGGACTTTGCTTCTAGGGTCACGGAAAAATTGGCAGGTACAAGAGTTCCCATCTACCTGCCATGCCCTATGCACAGCCTTCCATTATCCACATCCCTACCAGTGTGAGCATGTTTGTTAGGACTGACGCTCCTGTGTTGACATACCGTCAGCTTGCATCAGCGATTAGCCGTCCTGCAGTGTTGAATAAATAGCCAGCGACATAATGGGTATCTATTATTATCGAGCAGGCTTTCATGGCCCTAAAGATTCCCGCACTTTGCCTGTGTAGCCCACCCTCCCTCAACCACAGCGAGGCAGTGTTGACCAACAGTGTGTGCCAATGTGAGCTTGTAGGGCCGCACCAATAGCAATCACCTTCTTGCGTGTCTGTGACTTATGGTCCATTGGCTCTGTCACCAGGCCACTGTGCTGCTGTTCCCTCTTCAGGCTGACTTCTTGCTCATGCTACATGCAGGCCAGTGTCCCTTCCGTTTCCTAGACTGCCACCCTCACCTAGCTGTCCTTGGAGGGGGTTGGATCCATGACTAATTGTCCACGAAACTTACCACCTTGGCCACCCCTGTGATATTTTACTTACAGAGACACAGTTGGCAGCACCTTGCCTTTGTGTCTTGTGAAGCAGAGATAAAATATGGAAATGAGGCGGGCTGTAAGCTGAGGAAAGAGCCTGACTATGAAGCACTGAGCATCTCCCAGCGCACGGCAGGTGGCCTGATGTGAGAGTGGGTTGTTAGGGTGACACAGAACAGCCCGTCTGCTTAGAAGATTAGCTGAATAGTAGGAGACGCACTTTGCCATTACTGTGAGAGGAAGAATACATGGCAGACTTTGTGTGAATGTCCCTAAAGGAGAAGCCTGAGGCATACAGCCCCCAAACCCAGCTTGCTGCCCTTATGAAGGACCAAAGGCCTGACCTCAGGGCTAATCACTCTGATGCTGAACTGGTTACCTCTGCACGCTGTCTCTCATCTCTCCTCATTTTGCTTGTCTGTGAGAAAGTATAGTGACATCATTTTCTTCATAGGGATATATTAGTCTATGTGACAAGCTTATGATAAGTGATTGTAACTGGGATGGGAGAAAAAAAAAAACTGTCCTTCTGTCCTGCCCTAGGCCCATTATGACTCTCTCTGTAACCATTCCCTATATCAGGAGATCACCCAGTGACGTACCCAGCCCCAACTCAGCCCAGTCCTTGTCATCAGATGATGCTGGCGCCGCCGTTTAAGGGGAAATTGTCCTGTGGGCCCAAAGGTTTCTTTGGAGGAAGAATTGAGTCTTTATTTCTGAGTTCGAGAACATGTTTGAGAACGTGTTCTACTTACTGTTCCTTTAAGTAACCCATTTGAGAGGAATTCACATCTGGTGTTTGAAAACACCTGTGTTCTTTCTGTTGGAAGCATCGTTACCTTCCTGGAATGTCTCAACGTTAATAAACACCTCTCTGAGCAGTCCATTTGGAAATACATAATGTGATATTGTTTCTGTTACATTATGAGAGTGTTGTGGGTGGGAGGGAGGGAGGGAGAGAGGGAGGGAGAGGCTCCCTCATGTAAACAGATATTTTATTAACTGAATTCCACTTTTTTTTTTTTTTTTTTTTTTTTTTTCTGCCTCTCGTTTCAGAACGGTTTGACCACCACTGTCCCTGGGTAGGCAACTGTGTGGGAAAAAGAAACTACAGATTTTTTTATATGTTTATTTTATCCCTGTCTTTTCTGACAGTCTTTATATTTGCATTCGTTATCACCCACGTCATTCTTCGTAAGTATGCTGCTGGAAATCAGATTACGTATGTAAACGTTTGCTCGACTTTGGCTTTTCTGAGTTGATTTCGACTTATAATTTTTTTTTTTTATCATTTCTGGCTTTTCTCTTCTTCCTCTCTCCCCTCCCCCTCCTCACTTCCAGCCTGCCCACTCTGTTTTCCACTTTTCCCTCTTTCCTTAACCCCATCCCTCCAACGGCGGCATGTTCCAGGTTGCACCTGGACCAGGTTCCGTTTATACAGACAGGACTTTCCCCTTGATATGGGTGTTCTCTCCAACCTCAGTGATGTCTACTGGGGATCCCCGGAAGGCTCATCCCTCCATTTTGCGCAAGGAACAACGATCATAATGACAACCGTTGACTAGCTGAGTCTGTTTTCTTTATCTCCTGGCCCATGGTTTAAAAATATACATCCCTGAAGGAAGAATGTGGCTAGGGACAGATACCGGTTTTTCTCATACACTTTCCATGAGATACTCCATTCTCTGCAAGAATACGAACAAACAACCTCTCACATATAAAGAATTCAACTTTTTTATAAAAAAAAAAAGTTAGACTTGAGTGTAAATATTTTTCATGTATTTGCATAAGAAATCAGCGGTTTTTTTTCTCTCTCTCTCTCTCTCTTTCATTCGCCATTCTGAAGTTCATGCTGGGTTTCTTTTGTCTCTTAGTCATTCACTTTCCCACAACAGGGGATGCTGAGAAGGAAGTTAATTGGCTTTGGACTGCAAACCTAAGCCTTTAAACTTTCATTAGAGTGTCTCTACCCCCATTAAGGAGCATCTTTGCCTTTCATCCATTCCTGAAGTGTAGGCGCCCATTAGCAAGCATGCAGCCTCACTCTGGTGTTTCTGGAAGCAGCTGAACAGAGAGGCTTTCTTTTCTTCCCTTGCCAGCATGGAACTCATGAATGGGGCAGGCTAAGGCCCTGTAGGCCCCATCACCCACTCCTTCTGTTCCAGTGGCGTCCACGTACGGACTGGGGAAGTAGGGGTACAGAATGACCCCCATTGGTCTCTGCGCATCAGTCCGGGGCAGCCATTACATCAACTACCCAAACTCACGCTGTTCTAGACCTAAGTCATTTCTGACTGGGACGCTTTTGTCCCAGCTGCCTGAAGTTAGTGACTGTGAGAGAAGAGTAGTCCTCATCAGGGTCCTCGTCCATGCCAGCTGGAGCTGTTGCTGAGGTGGCTTTGTAGAGACCCCGTTTCTCAGCATTTTCTGAATCCCAAAATGGTAACAGCGGAGCCAGGAGCCAGTCTGTGGGCTCCCGTGAAGGTGGCGAAGGGAGGGAAAGCCACACGTGTTTTGGTTGTTTCTGGAGGAAGCAACTGTTCCCATGGTCAGAGGAAAGCCCTTGCAAATAAATAAACCACACACCAAAATTTAACCAGACCCATGGGTACAGCACAATGAGTTTCCACATGGCTCAGATTGGCATGACTTAAACATCTCTCGTCCTTCAGGAAAAGTCTAAATGCTGTCATTTCACACTATCAGATTTTATCCCTAGCCTCAGCCCTCGACAGTCATGGTTACAAACGCCAGGAAAGGCATCTACACACACTTGTGCAGTTCATCCCACCGTCACGCTCATTGTCCCCAAAAACTCAGTCATACAGGGCCACTTGTCTTTATGCACCGGCATGGCCTCTCTCTCTCTCTCTCTCTCTCTCTCTCTCTCTCTCTCTATCTCTCTATCTCTCTATCTCTCTATCTATCTATCTGTCTCCTCTCTCTCTCTCTCACACACACACACATACATACACACACATACACACACACACACATACACACACATACACACACACACAGAGTGAAGTCTGCTGCCGCCTTCCCAGACTTAGAATGATGCTTTACACCCCCCCCTCCCCGCTTCACCAATGTAGAAGCTCCATTTACTCTGGTTCCTACACAGTGGGGTCTGTTTCTGTTTCAGTCTCCCTTTGTTTTGAGGTTGCCTTTGCTGGCAGCCTGCAGCTTGTCACTCACTGGCACCCCGCTGGATTCAGGGAGATGCAAGAAGCTTTAAGCATTAGCAATCAATGCAGTCCCTCTTGAGCCACCCTCCCCCACCACCCAGCAATCCTCATGCCTCCAAGGTGGACAGGAGGCCCCCAGAGTTCCTGGAGGAGAAATATGAGGCATAGTGAAGTTCCTTCTTCGCCTTTGCAAAGCGGGACACCGGTTGACAGTCACACAGAGAGACCTGGGACACTCCCACTCACTAACCCTACCCCACAGCTAAACTAGTTAAACAGCTTAGAAGCAACGGTCAACAGCTTAACATTTCACATTCTGTGACACACGGTTGTGTCCCCTGAAGCACAATGGCTTCAGTCAAGACAGAAGGACCCAGAATCATCTCCCAAGATAGCACTGCCAAGACTTCCTCCTCAGAGGTGGGGGGGGCTGGAGAGATTGTTCGGTGGTTAAGTATGCTTTCTGTGCTTCCAAAGGACCCAGCTGGTTCCTAGCAACACACTGAGCAGATCACAACTACCACAACTACCTGTAACTCTAGTTCCAAAGAATCCAACTCCCTCTCCTCACCTCCACAGGCACCCATACATGTGTCATAGACACACGCACACACATACATACATGCACACACACACACATGAATAAAAATAAATCTTTAAAATTGGCTTAGATCATGATGGAAATATATAAGACAGAATCCCTGTTCTCATCAGATGTCACTGAACTCAAACCCCTCAGTGTTTTCTTGCAGGACAAGGACATCACCTTCACCCAAAAAGGGCCATTAAATGAACTTTAGCTTTACTTACTCTGCGTACAAGGGAGATTGATGGTTCCTAACACCTCCACTGCCAAGTGTTAACCGATGTGGGCAAAACAGAAGAGATTATGTAGGACTCTGTTTTCCCATTAAAATGAGGGGAACAAAAGAGCAATCAAAGCTGTAATTTATGGGAAAATATACAGACACGCGTCTGCTTTCGTTGAAAGGAGAAATGTCCTGCAGATGTCGGTCCTCATTGTGAATCTGCCATCTTCTTGAACGGCTTCAGTGGAATCATGATCTCTGATCAGTAAACTGGATGCCCCTACACCAAATACGAATGTTCAGTTGATGTTTAGACGTCTGTTACTCTTATGTAGATGCGAGCATTGAGCATGGGGGTGAACATCTGGATACTAAATGTTGGCTTCCTTCCCACAGGGTCACAGCAAACGGGGTTCCTCAACGCCCTTAAGGACAGTCCGGCGAGATATCCTTTCCCGTGGCTCAGTGGGTACCTCTCTTGTGGGTTCAGCATTCCACCAACCCCTACATTCTTATCTCTTTATGCCTCTGGCTGTCCTTCTCATAAACCACATTCTTACTCATTTTGCAAGGCATCAGGAGTCCCACAGGATATTCACTTGTGTGATAAGTGGCTTCTGAACATCGAGTCTCCAAACTCACCACAGCCCTGACATAGGTCATGCTTAGGTGGGGCATGGGACAGCGTGGTGGGAAGATGCCACATTGCAGTGGGATTTGTGGCCTACGGGTGGGTGAGGACAAGGAGCGGGAAGCATTGATGATCCTGAGGACATGTGTCACTCTACCCATCTCTGCGACAAAGCAGTTCATCCTTGGCTGTGTGGTTGAGGTTCCTCTCATCCCGGTGGAACAGGAAACAAAACCAGGACCAGAAGCAGGGTGTGGCCATGTCCCTCAAGTCTGTCCCCGCTGGCCTGTGCCTGCCGTTTAAGCCTCAGGTTCCCAGAATTCTCCAGCTTCCCCAGACAGTGCTGCCAGCTGGAAGCCAAGCTGTAGGGGACATTTCACATCAAAGCATGACAGAAGATTAAGCCAGGGATGCTATGGGATGTAGGGTCGCAGGAGACAAGGGGGATACTAGAGAAACAGAGAGTTCTGAGATGAAGAGGCCCTCCAGATCTCTCTCTGTGTGTGTCTCTCTCTCTCTTTCTCTCTCTCTCTTTCTCTCTCTCTCTCTCTCTCTCTCTCTCTCTCTCTCTCTCACACACACACACACACACACACACACACACCGGCTATCTCCCCATTGTAACTTCAGTCAAACAGAAGGAGGGAAGCATCTGGAAACTGCACCTCACAGGCAATACCACCAGTCAGGACGACTACATGGCAGCGTAGCGACGCTTCCTCCCAGACTCTCGTTCTCAAAGGCAGAGACCGTCAGGAGCATGTGCAGGGGAGACCAGGGTGCCCTAGGCATCCTTGAGGAAGTCCCCAGAGAGGGGACCCTGCCATTCACAAACACGTCAGTGTAGCATGGCATTAATGTCCCATTAAAAGGATTACAGTCACTTTTAATCATGACTTATTGTTCAGTGCTCCCAAAATGCAGAGGCTCTCCTGTGGTTGGTAAATCAAACAGTAATTGATTTCGGCATTTGCGAAGGCTTTCCCCCTAGAAAGCCTCTTTATCTCTCCAATTTGCATTCATTTCGGTGCTCACCCGCCTGAGAGGCACCCACAGACTAATGGGCACTGGTCTATTTTAATAGAATTTGCTAGAATGTTGGCAGAAAAAAGGGTACCACGTGACATACTGGGAAAGCAATGAAGGCAGCCTAGGCTTTGGCTACGCTGTCCATGCTGATAGATATACTGACGTCCAAAGGACTACAAGAAAATAGACATCCTTAGTGCTGTGTATAGCCACACTTGTGCCAGGAAAACCAGGGACATCCCTGGTGGCACCTAAGCAAGAGCCACACTCTCCCTACACCAGCCTGCTCCACGCAGGAAGAGACCAGTGCCTTCCCGCCATCCCCACCCAGCCAATGGAGAAGGTTGAAGTTCTAAAGTAATTCCAAAAGAAATGTAACAGGAAGAAAGGGTTTCCGTGACCCTCCGTTGTGTGGGACTCCTCGTCAGTTTCTGTCTGACCTTCCAGGAGGTCCTCATGAAGGTGGATTGCACACTTGTATGTGGCTAAGGGGTTGCTTGTATCTTGCAAGGACCCTACCCTTTGAATTGTTCCACAGTTTGATTTTTGTTTCAAAATATTACCCGGTGACAAATCTACCTCATTCCTTTTAAACAACTTTCTGAACTCCAAGTATAGCCAGGTGTACTTGGGGTGAATATTTATATCTCTTCCTTCATTTTCTCTTCCAAAGGTGAGGGCATAAAATGCAGTACGGTGGAACGTACCTATAATCCCAACTTGGGACACTGAGTTTAAGGATGGCACCTTTTGCTGGGCGGCCTTGGCAGGCTGCACACAGAGGAGAGAGGAGACAGGGGTCTGGTAATTGACAGGAACATGGTGTTTACCTAAAGGGTCCCCCAAAGCATCTCCGGAATGCCGTGGGTCCATGAACACCTGCCTTAGAATCGAACATCTGTTCCACCATTGACTGAATTTTGCTCCATCCCCGTCCAGAGCCATGTCTGGACACACCCTGTCCCCTCGCTGCCCCTCACTCTGATGGCTGGAAGTGTCTCCCCACCCCTTAGCCAGTGGCTGCTCTGTCCCAGAGTCCCTCACGCTTCTTGCACACTCATTACCTACATGGCCTTTAGAGGCCATCTGTCAGATTCCGACCCTTCAAAGCTCCAGTCACGCGTTTGGTTGGGACGCTGCTCACTCCCACCGTGAATCTGGAACCTCCTCCACACAGGGGCGAGGAAGGCATGAAAGCAGGGATGGAGTCAGATGGAGCTGTGAAGGGGACCTCAGCCACTTCCCCCTTTCACAGCTTCAGGCATTCCTGCAAATTGCCACCGACATGGGTGGTTGACAGCGCAGCTGTGTTTTCCTGCCTCTAGGTAGAGCCATCCATAGAGGAAGGAGCCGTTCCTTCGAGGTACACCTGCTTCAGGATGGGCTGCCAGGCAGATACAGCCACCGGCCACCTCTGGGGCCTCTGTGTCTTCAGTGGCAGTCACCCCTGCATGGTCTCTCTAACCAGGACGATGGGCTTTGCACCTGAGGTCCCACCAAGAGGTGACCCAGGACGTTGGAAATGACAGAAAGGAAAGGGACCATGCAGAGCTCCTATTTAGGTGGTGCCTTCCTGGCCATGCGGAAATCCTGGTTAATAAGTGACTTGGGCTCTGGGCCTCAGCTTCCTGCATGATTAGGGAGTTAGGGATTAGGGAAAACCAGAGCAGCCTTCTGTGTCTCCATGGTGCGGAGGCGCTTCGGGGAAGGTTTCTTTTGAATTACTGAGATTATAAGAAAAATTACTTGTCTGTCCCCCTGTGTGAGAAAAGACCAGGAACCCCAAGATGATGAAGACATAGTTCGATGCTCTCCCACTGGTTATGATTATTCCAAGCCTGAAATGTCCTCAGCCATTTTACCTGGCTCTCACCCAAATCTTGGCATTGTTTCTCTCCTTGCTAACCTCTCCCACTTCAAGAAGAGCCTGTTGCTTGTCCGTGGAGCTGGTGAGCTGCAGGCCCATGAGAGAACCTGTCTCAAAAGAAATTGTAAAAGTAGATGGCACAGAAAAATTCCCAAGGTTGGACTCTGACTTCTAAAGGCCCATAGGTGTACACACAGAAACTCACCACACACACACACACCACACACATACCATTTTTTGTTTCTGTAAACCTCTACAGTTCCTCATCCACCAATCACACTGCCTCCTAATGGAAGCAGCTAGGAATTGCAGGTCACATTACAGATGTAGTAGCCAGAAGCCCAGGGCCCACCCACCTGCTGCAACTTGACCCTCCTTTTTTACTTGGAGGTTTTTATGGTTCATGTTCGAGCCTTCCTTCTATCTTGATGTCCCCGTCATTCTGTCTGGCTTGTAAACGCCTGGTGATGCACAGGTGTTCTTGAGATTGATGTTGGACTTCCATCCTTTTTCTCTTTTCTCCCCTGGACCACATCCTTTTCCCCAGCTCCTGGGTGACATCATCTCATCGTCTCTGACCTTTTCCCTTAGCTGCCTAAAGTTCTAAGTAGCGCCACCACCTCTGGCTCAGCCTCATCTCCCCAAATTGGCTTCTTCCCTGGTTACTCAATCTTGGCCCCTGGACTCCTCCTCTGCTTTGAAGCCAGTGTGGGACATGAAGTCTTCCTGGGCCCCCTCCCAGCCCTGATAGGGAGTCAGAGGAAGATGAAGCTCCACTGTAGGGAGCAGAGGGCTGCTGCAGCTCTGGCTAGGGGTTTCTTCCTTGTGTTTCTCTTGTTCTCTCCACCCTCCCAACCACCTGCTTCTCCACAAGGAGACCACTGTGTCACGCACAGAACTGTTCACCTTTCCTCATTTGCGGTGAGACTCCATGCCCAGCAACAGCATCCAGCATCATACGGAGGCCCTGGGTAAGGTGTTCAAAGTGAGTTATTTTCAACCTGGAAACACCAGTGGTGACACAGAACGGCCTGGTCTGTGTCCCTCCACCCTTGGAGGCATAAGGAAAGCACAAGGTTTCTTTACTTTCCCCTAGTCTGTAATTCCTTGCTAGGAGGAAGCAAGGTGTATATTTAAACCCCAGACCCGCCCCGGGATGAATCGGTTTTTCCTGAGAAACATCTGTATCTTTTTAAATTGGCTCCTATAAACATTTGTGGGATGGGAGAAATCTCTCGTCCTTTCAGATTACTGCATTCTTGGCTGATCAGTGCCGTCTGGTGAACAAGGCCATGCTGTTCCTCCTTTGGTGATGGCACGTCCCATGAAGTGCCTGGCTTTCTCTGCCATCACCGTAGCATAATACCCTGTGCCAGGGATTGGCTGTGGAGCTGAGCAGGGGTCTCTAGGGAATGCCCCAGCCCAATTCCACACCTCGGGTCACCCTCCAGTTCATAGGCATGAGCGCTTCTACAAGCTAAGACCGGATACTCCACAGAAGCGAGCAGTTCTCAATGTCACAAGCCCACCATGGGAGGGAGATGCTTCTTGGGAGACAGGCCTCAGCATTGGGAAGCTAAAACCAGGGCGGCATTTACTATTTAGTCATTTCGTCGAAGGTATGAGCCACTGCGAGCTTCCATCCACCCTTGGTTGCATTACAAGTCAGAGAAGGTAAAGGTCTGCTCCCAGGGAGTCCGGCAGCCATCACAGAGCTGTGGATGCCCCTGTGCATTGGGGGAGGAAGTATCTGTGTGGTCACTGGCCTGAAGGAGGGAGGCTTCCAGTTAGAGGCCGGGAAGGGATGGGGGCTAGAACTGAACCCAGAACCCGCCTATGGGGTTTCAGCCCTTCACCGGGCATGCAGCGTCTCTGGTAGCCATGAGAATCCCCTGTGTTTCTGTTGGCCTCCTTGACCCACCCACTGTGCTGGAGGCTGTGGTATGCTTCTTTTCCGTCTGGTCCATCGTTGGCCTCTCAGGTTTCCACACGTACTTGATCAGCTCCAACCAGACAACAAATGAAGACGTAAGTTCCTGGCCGTAACACTTGGGTATCTGCATGGTTAGCCTTGGAGGGGGAAGAGGAAGTGAGAAATGGGGGGGGGGTCACCTTTCCCCTTACATCCCACTCCAGCTCTGAGAGCCCTGGGGACAGAGGGTGAAGTGGATGCCCCGTCTGGGTCCCGAGTGTATGTATGTGTGGTGCATCTCTGCACCCTCCTACATTTTACCGTGACATCAGTCCCATCCTAAGATGAAGCCAAGTGACACCCGGTTCTGACCTCCAGAAGGCCCTTCAAGTCCTCTTAAATTGTTTTGGAGTCAGCTTGTCACACTTCCCCAGCCAAAGACAGACCATGGCAGGCTGACACACCTTGGGACCTAACTTTCATCCTTAATTATCTCTGGCTTCTGGAGGAAATTTCCCCGACTCAGAGTTGAACTTTTGAGTCCTGGAGCATCTGCCTATGCGTGGCGAGGGTGTGTAGGGGTTGGGGGGAAGGGGGGGGGCAGGAAATATCATGTTGGAAATTCCTTCTCAGCATGTGTAGCTCTCACTCGCTCTGCATACTGGGGTCTGTGCATGTTAAATGTTTCAGAACACATCCAGTTTCCTTAAACAATGGCCGGGGAAAGCAAATGATAAAATAGACGAGATAAAACTGCTAAAACAGCACATTCAATTTGGTAACTGAGTATCAGGATCTGCAAAGCAGACAATTTTAACAAGAGGCTGCCTTCTCTGTGTAAACTGGCAGTTAAGGAAGCCATGCGAAGCTGTTTCAGTTAACATTCATTTCATCACAGCCTAGCGCTGGGCAGGCCGGGGATGTGGCTCAGAGGATCAGAGCATTTGTTCTGTAATCAAGAGGATGGAATCCCATTCCCGGGTCCCCACATGGCCACACATTCCTGTAACCCCAGCACCGGGAGGCAGAGACCAGCACCGCCTGTGAGCTTACAGGCTAGCCCGCCTAGCTGAAGCCTCTGTCTAAGGCAATAGCATCTCTGGAGAGCAGTAGGGGAACCCACCTGTCATCTTGCTCTGACCTCCATATGCAAGGCTCACACCCTTACATACTCATGTTCATGTAACACACCTACACCACACAGCACGCAATGAACAGTAAATAAGTAAGACAAGAGGGTACAAGGTATAAATATGAAAAACAAGAGTTCCCACTGGTTTCCTTTAGAGGAACGTTTAGTAGCACAGTATACTCTTAAATGAGGACTTTCAGTCCCAGAGATTGTTACCCTCGCTAATCTAAGCTTCTGTTTGAGGGTATTCCTAAGTTTTGTATAAATGCTTGTTTCCCACAAAACGAAATGTCTCTCTTTCTCCCAGTAAAGACTGTACTGCAAGCATCGGAACCAGCGTCTGGCATGTGCTAGGCAGGTGTTGTCCCACTGAGCTATACTTGAAAGGCATTCCTGGGTCCAGTTTGACCTAAATGTTGGCATCGGTACTCCAGGCACTGTGTTATTGATGTCCCTTCTCTTTCAGATCAAAGGGTCTTGGTCCAATAAGAGAGGTAAAGAAAATTACAACCCCTACAGCTATGGAAACATCTTCACAAACTGCTGTGTCGCCCTGTGTGGCCCCATCTCCCCCAGGTAAGAGAGCGCAGTACAGACCTCAGGAAAGCTGATGTCTTCTCTGCGGTAATGCAGCGCAATGCAGCTTAGAGACAGCTGCCTGGCCCCCACCTGCTGGAGCCGACCACACCCACAGGCCACCCCCAGCTCCGCTCTCTCCTGTGCGGAGCCGCTTAGACACACCCAGGGACGCCGCCGCCGCAGCCTGGCTCCATTTGCTCATACTCCACTTCTTTCTGGTCTTGAGCTGATTTGTGTCTGATCGCGAAGAAGTTTCCTACATTTCACAATAGGAAAGTGGACGTTCTGAACTCCTGGGCCGGCCTGGGACCTAGCATAATTAGGGAGCCAGAGCTGAGAGAGTGTAGTGTGGGAAGCAACTCGAGACAAAATGGGAATAAATGCTAAAGGCTGAGGTACAGGCACGGTGCTCACACAGCCCCAAGGGAGAGCTAGGGGAATCGGAGTAGGTGGTATGGTAGGGTGACGCTAAAGACAGTTATTACTTATGGTAACAGCTGGGACTCTCTCTCTCTCTCTCTCTCTGTGTGTGTGTGTGTGTGTGTGTGTGTGTGTGTGTGTGTGCGCACACACACACACACACACACATATTTGCCTCCTAAGTGCTTTGTATGTACCAACTTTTGAAATGCTCATTCCATGCCTATGGAATGGTTAGATACCATTGTCTTCTGTTTTAGGATTAGTGAACGGAGGCACATAGTCTAAATAATATGCCCAAGAGACACAGCCAGCAAATGCTGGCTACTCAAGCCCTCTGACATTGGAATTAGTGCCTGTACAACAAGTTCAAAATGCAGCAAACATTTGATTATGTGTGAGTGACACCAGAATAGAATGTTTCTTGAGAAACCAGTATTCCTCTACAAATACCGAGTGAGCAGGTGGTGTCCATGGTGAGTATCTGAGTACGTTCCTAATTTATTTGTACTTCCTCTGCTGTCTGGTCTCAAGTGTGTGAAAGAAAGTAAAACCACCAAGGTGGCTGCATAGCCTCTGTGTGTGCAGATCTCACCCATGTGTACTTGTGGGATGCACACTCCATGCTACCGTCAGCCCCAGCAAACCCTCGTTAGAGAATAAGCTGACATGTGGCAAAGGCCATCCGACCCGAGACAGTGTTTCTCTGTGGTTGTAGAGGCTGTCCTGAAATTAGTAGACCAGGCTGGTCTTGAACTCACAGAGATCTGCCTGCCTCTGCCTCCGAAGTGCTGGGATTAAAAGCCTGTGCCACAACTACTCAGCTTGCTTTCAAGCTGTGTAGCACTGGCTGGCCTGGAACTTGCTTTGTAGACCAGACTGGCCTTGAACTCAGAGATCCCTGTGTCTCCACCCCCCCACCCCCCAGGACTGGGATTAAAGGTATACGCCCCCACCTGGCTCCCCATCTACTCTTTGGGGATTCATCATCTGAGGGAATAGACAGACACGAACAGGCAAAGCCCAGAGAAGGGGATTGTCTGGAGACAAGTGCCAGGCCTTTTCCGTAGGTACCAGCCGGTCTGGAAGAGTTTCAGTTCCCCCTGGACTGCCTTCTCAGGGTCCTTAGGTCAGGAAATACCGCGGAGAGCTACCAACGGCTCACCATCTTAGATCGTCTTTCTGGGAGTCTATGAGTATGGTGCTGAGTCACAAGGTAGGCCATGGAGAGGTCTTGGAGGAGCGTAAGAACAGAGACAGGGACTACTGTTCCCCTGACCAGAATGCACACTGTAGCCCGGGCAGGCAGCAGACAACCCCTGCATCCCATCCACCTCTCTCCCCGTTCCTGGTCCTGGATTTGCACATGGCCCTGCCTGTATATTTACAGACCAAAACTTATCATGACCAAAATGGCCTCCATCAGAACTGTATTGACTAGGTGTGTGTGCTGGCTGGTTTTATGTCAGTTTGACTCAAGCTAGAGTCATTGGAGAGGAGGAAGCCTCAAATTCCACCATAAGGTCTGACTGTAGGCAAAGCTGTAGGAAATGTTCCTAATTAGTGATTGATGGAGGAGGGCCCCGCCCATTGTGGGTAGTGCCTTCTCTAGTCAAATGGTCCTGGGTTCTGTAAGAAAGAAGGCTGAGCAAGCCGGTGAGCAGCACTATGCCATGGCCCCTACTGCAGCTCCTGCCTCCAGGTCCCTACCCTGGGTGAGTTCCTGTCCTGACTTTTCTTTGAGAACCAACAGTGTGTGAGCCGATCAAAGCCTTCCCTCCTCACGTTTCTTTGGTCATGATGTGTCATCATAGCAACGGCAACCCTATCTAAAACAAGTTGGTACCGGGTATATTGCTGTGATAGACCTGGCCTTGTTTCCGAGATGACTGTGAAAAGGCTGTTGGAAGTTTACATGAGAAAAGCCACTGAGTGTTCAATGCTTGGTGAGCTCTTCTGCAGGAGCTTGTAAGATCCGAACGTTGAGGGTAATTCAGATGTTGGAGGCCTGGCCTGTGAAGCTTAAAGACTCTGTCAGCGTCATTTGTTATTATGAAGGAAGATCCTGTGGTTCCGGTTAGCTGGGGCTGAAGAACCAGCTGTGATTAACAAGAGGCCAGGACTTCTGAAATGAACCCTGTGCTTTGCTGGGATACTCCATGCTGGTCTGCTGGAGCTGAGACAGTGGTAGTGCTTAAGAAGACACCAGCAGCCGGGTGGCGGTGGCACACACCTTTAATCCCAGCACTCGGGAGGCAGGCAGAGGATCTCTATGAGTAACAAGGCCAGCCTGGTCTACAGAGAGAGTTCCAGGACAGCCAAGGCTACACAAGAGAAACAAACCCTGTCGTGAAAAGAGACAGAGAGAGCAGCATCACTGAGGTGAAATCATCTGGGAAGGGTTTCCTCGGGGTCAGCACACAGACGCTGTTCCAGAGACAGCCAAGGTTGCACTTGGTGCTGGCAGCTGAACTTGGTATAAGAGTCACTGATATTGAAGGCACGAAGATGTCATGGAGAGCAGCTGAGGCTTGGCACCATGAGAGGCAGGAGAGGCCACTGGTGAAGGTGCATCTCGGTGGCGGTTGAAGGTCCAGGATAAAAGGTGTCCGGCAGAGAAGAGAGCCTAAGCAAGGCAAGTGGTGGAAAAGCCAAAACAATGTTTTGGCAATGCCAGCTCCACAGGATGACCACCAAAAACAGCAGCAGGGGAGTGGAGGCAGCCGGAGCCCAGAAGACAGCTGTGTGTGCTGCAGAGGGCGGGGCTGGAGAAGACACCCAAGCCCCTTGGAGTGGCCCGGAAGATCGTGGGTGAATCCCAGACATTGGACACTGAGTTACTTACACTGTTGGCGTTTGGCTTCGCTAGTTCAGTTTGCGACTGCTCCCTGCCTGGCTCTTCCCTCTTGAAGTGAGAAGGTATTTAATTGAATTTTTATTTTTCCCGGAGCCCACAACTGGAAGACTTTAAACTTTTCAAAACAGATTTTGGATTTTTAAGGAGACCTTCTAGAGACTGAAGTTTGAATGTGTTTGATTTCGCATGGCACGTGGGGCTTTTAAAGTTACGTTTTTATACTGTGATGTTAATATTAGCATGTCATCTCGGGGATGAATGACAAAGGAGAAGTTCTAATTGAAAAGTGATGTCTATATGTCAAGGTCACAAGGAGTCAGTTGTGCTGGCTAGTTTTATGACAGCTTGATACAAGCTGGAGTCATTGGAGAGGAGGGAGCCCCACCTGGCAAAATGCCTCCGTAAGATCTGCTGTAGGCAAGCCTGTAGAGCATTTTCTTAATTAGTGATCAGTGGGGGATGGTACCATCCCTGGGCTGGTGGGCTTGTGTTCTTAAAAGCAGGCTGAGCAAGCCGTGGGGGGGGGGGGGTAAGGGGGGGAATAAACTCGGAAGCAGCCTCTGCATCAGCTCCTGCCTCCAGGTCCCTGCCCTGCTTGAGTTCCTGCCCTAATTTCATCTGGTGATGCACTGTGATGTGGAAGTGTGAACTGACCAAACCCTTCCCTTCGCAAGTCTCTTTGGTTGTAGTTTCATCACAGCAATAGTAACCCTAACTAAGCCAGTGTTTGGGCTGGAGTTGGGCCATGGTCTCTAAGATCCAAGTCCCTTTGGAAGGGACACTTCTCAAGAGTGGCCCTCCCTCCCCCCAGGGAGCTGCTTGACTTGCTTGCTGAAAGGTAAGCTTAGATCTGCTGGTGGAAGTGTTTACTTAAGCAAGTAGTGAGTCCTGATTTAGACAGCCCCAGTGCCATGACGATGGGACCAGAGTACGGAGCTTGGCAGAGGGTGTCGGGATCGAAACACTTAACAGACTACCACGAGAAGAGAAGAGGAAGGTGCTGCCGTTTGTTACAGGCTTATATGCCCAAGCCAGGGGATGGGCTAAGCATAGGAGGAAGTCATGCACCACCCACACCTGGGGTCAAGGCACGGGCACTGCACACCGGAAAGTTATGAGAACAACCGTGTTTGATCAACCTTGAGAGCGCGGGAGTTCTACGGCTGGGTGGGGAGAAAGAGAGCTGTAAGGGACAAGTGCTTAAATTTCCCAACACCCCAGTCTGAAAACAGTCTGGGGGTCCTCAGAGAGGAAAGAGGGGCCGTGTGTAGGATGAGCAGAGAGAAGCAAACGGATGCTCTAGATTGGTGACAGGGACTACAGCTGTATTCAGGCCATTTGAGTGGAGAGCCCCTGGTTAGAGGTTATCTTCAGTTTCTGAGACTGGCATACTGAGCTGTTTCATTTTACTTGTTGGGGACCCAGGATGCTGCCTGGGGTGACCTCTACCCCATTGCACCCCACTCTCTTGAATCAACTCGACAGACTCTGGTGAGTCCATATGGAAAGGGCTGGGCTCCTGTCTGTTTTAAGGAGCTCCCCAGGGTCAGCCCCAGACCAGTGAAGATGACGTTCATGTATGTTCTTCCCTCCTGGCCTTTCCTGCCTTCTCTTCCCTTTCCCAAGAAGGGGGCAGTCTATGATGAAAGGGGTAGTCTGTGGTGAAGGGGGTAGTCTGGCTAGTCGAGAGAAACCAAGACTGATTATGTGCAGGAGGAGGGGTTAAAGGAGAGCGAGAGAAAGAGGAGATGGGTGTGAGGTGTCTTAGTCGGGGTGTCTATTGCTGTGAAGAAGCACCATGACCATGGCAACTATTACAAAGCAAAAACATTTAATTGGGCTGGTTTCAGAGGATCAGTCCATTATCATCATAGTGGGGCATGGCAGCGTGCAGGCAGACAGGGTGCTGGAGTTGAGAATCCTACATCTTGATGGGCAGGTAATAGGAAGTGAACTGAGACACTGGGTGTAGCTTGAGCATATGATACCTCAAAGCCCACCCCCACAGTGACACACTTCCTCCAACAAGGCCACACCTACTCCAACCAAGTCACACCTCCAATAGTGCAGCTTCCTATGAGCTTATAGGGGCAGTGACATTCAAGCTCCCACATGGGGTATGAGAGTCCCTGTCTCAGTTTGGGTTTCTATTGCTGTGACGAAACGCCGTGGCCAAAAGCAACTTAGGGAGGAAAGGGTTTATTTCATCTTACAGCTTATAATCGTCATCCAGGGTTCATGCACTGTTGCAACTACCCTGATACAGGTAGAGCCGCTCTCCAAGTAGAGAGGTATACCTGTTACTACAGACCCAACCAAGGGTACTTCATGATAGGGAAGTCAAGAGGAGAGGAGCTTGATGCAGCTCGGTCACATTGTATCTGCAGGAAAACAAACAATGAATGCTTATGTTAGTTCACTTTCGCCCTTGTATACAATCCAGGATCCTAGCCTAGGGAATGGTGCCACTTCAATTTATCTGATCAAGATAATCTCCCACAGAAGTGCCCATAGGCTCTTCTCCCAGGCAAGTCTAGATCTCATCAAATTGTCACTTGAAATTACCCATTGTAGAGGGACCCCAGACCTAGATATGTAAGTCATATTGCTATCATCATCGAACTTTTCCTCACCCTCTCTCTACTGTGTTTGTTCTTCCACAGCCTAATCGACAGAAGAGGATACATCCAGCCCGACACACCACAGCCAGCAGCGCCATCCAACGGGATCACTATGTATGGGGCCACGCAATCACAGAGTGACATGGTAGGAACTGCCTGAATCAGGGCCATCATTCCCTGTGAAGCCTTCTCGTCTACTGGCATGCCCTCTAACCTAATAACACACGTCTGAGAAAAAAAATGCCTTAGTAGGAGGGACATCCATGTGACTGACATGCTAGCATGGGGGAATCAAGTGGCAGTGTTCAGGGAGGGACATTACCATCTAGTCTGCCTAGCTTGTTACTACACACACACACACACACTCACACACACACTCACACACACTCACACACACATACACACACACTCACACACACTCACACACATACTCACACATACACACTCTCACACACACATACACACACTCACACATACACACTCTCACACACACACTCACACACTCACACACACACATACTCACACACATACACATACTCACATACACACTCACACACATTCACACACACACATACACACACTCACTCACTCACACTTACACACACTCACATACTCACATGCACACACTCACACACACTCACACACTCACACATACACACACTCACACACACTCACATACACACACTCACACACTCTCACATACACACACTCACACACTCACACACACTCTCACACACACTCACACACACTCACACTCACACACACACTCTCACACACACACTCTCACACACTCTCACACACACACTGTATGTTTGCTCCAATAGTATTCGGTACATTGAAGGAGGCCCTTGCCACAAAATCAGAGATCAGATAAAGGACAGGATCTACCTTCCTGACAGGGCTGGACCTGTTTGCTCATCTCCATTTCCTGTGATGTGCATTTTGCAGTGTGATGCTCCTATAGTGATGCACCCTGCTTCTCTGAGTGGGCAGTGGGCAGCACACCCACACCTCTGTACTTCCACCCTGCATCATAGGCCAGCCTGCAACTCTGCCATCCTCAGACCCAGGGCTCCATTATTCACAATGTAAACCAAACTGGCTGCATGCCTCTCCAGAGCATGCACGCCCCTCCAGAGCATGCACGCCTCTCCAGAGCATGCACGCCTCTCCAGAGCATGCACGCCTCTCCAGAGCATGCACGCCTCTCCAGAGCATGCACGCCCCTCCAGAGCATGCACGCCCCTCCAGAGCATGCACGCCTCTCCACAGCATGCACGCCTCTCCAGAGGATGCACGCCTCTCCAGAGGATGCACGCCTCTCCAGAGCATGCACGCCTCTCCAGAGCATGCACGCCTCTCCACAGCATGCACGCCTCTCCAGAGCATGCACGCCTCTCCAGAGCATGCACGCCTCTCCAGAGCATGCACGCCTCTCCAGAGCATGGACGCCTCTCCAGAGCATGCACGCCTCTCCAGAGCATGCACGCCTCTCCAGAGCATGCACGCCTCTCCAGAGGATGCACACAGCACTGTAGGGCAGGAGGTTGGGGGAGAGTAGCAGATGTCCTACCATAGGCATCTGCAGCCATAGCACATTAACCCTGACCCTCAGAGCCTGAGCTTCTCGAGGTGTTTAGAAGCCAATGGCTTCTCCATTTGCCTAAAGAAGCTCCCAGCCTGTTCCACACCCACCCTGCTGTTTGCCACATGTATGGCTGAGTCTCCTACATGGGGTGACATGAATGTCACACAGAGGATCTGGCTTGGGGACAGACTTGGAGAAACCTCGCTGCTGAGCATAGAGAGCTGCGAGGTGGAGGTTGGTGGCAGACGTGTCTAAGACCTGGAGCTAGAAAATGGTCCCGTCCCCTGGTCACCCATGTCTCCAGCCTCTGCAGAAGGGTGCTTGAACTCATTGTTTGCTAGCGGTGGTGTCTTGGCTGTATGTGTTGCTGCTCTAGCTAATAGCGTCTCCTTTGAAAGCGATTTGGACACAGCACGTTCTTTGTTAGTCTTCATGAACGTGCACACATGAGCACACAAGGAACCCTCCTCTCCCACAGTTCGCAGAGGGAAGTAAGAACACAGAGTAGGATGTGTGCTCACAAAAGGGAGGATATTGAATTTATTAGGTGACAGATATCCAAGGCACTTAACAACCTCATTGAATCCTATACCAACAGTGGAAAATTACCACTCATGGTTTTTGTTGTTGTTGTTGTTTGTTTTGAGCTATAAGGAGAGTATACCAGAGTTCCCACCAGTGTCTGCTGATTGCTTCTCTGGCTGTTCACATGCTGATATATGTACATATCCCCACTCACCCATCCAGCACCTCCCCCAAGGTTCCCTGCTGTGTGCTGAGTGCTGGACTCCAGAGATAGAAGGGTTAGAGTGTTTAGTCCCCACCACATGCACACAAGGTGTTGGCGGTCAGCACAGCAAGGAAGGGAGTCCATGAAATCAGCATTAGAAGCCTTCATCGGGTGGCAGTGTCCCTATGAAATCCCCTAGTGTCCACCCCAGATTGCTCTGCAGGGTCCCAGATTTAAAAGCCAAACTAAGGCCATCTTGATCAAAGGTGCTGTAAGCCACCCTGGACTCTAGTGGCACACAGATTGGCTGCTTTTCCATTGCATTGATCAAAATGCCTGAGAGAAGAAATTGAGGGAGGAAATACTTGGGCTCACGATGCAAATGGTTCAGCTGACAGTTGTTTGGCCCCTTGTGCTTGGGCCACACGTGAGTGATGGCGGCCAAAGTGTGCGGTAGATTCTAATGGTGGCAGGGGCGTGTGCAGGATGTGTTCTTCACTTGTGAGAGAACAGAAAGGGGAGGAGAGAGTGAACATGTAGGAAGAAGATGCCCTCTTTGGTCAAACACACAAGTGACCTACTTTCTCCTAAAAGTTTCAGAGTCTCTCACCGCTGGCCACACCTCATGAGCCTGGGGTGGGGGGAGGTATTTCACAGTCAAACCATGACTGTGTGGTCAATCCCTGGGCACCTCAGTCTGTCCTGGGAACTCTGCAGAGGTATCTCTTCCACATGGGGGTGCTGGAGAGTCGGCCAGCAGCAAGCTCTGGGAGTCCAGGGTGACTGCAAAGACCAAACTGCCACCACTTACCAGATAACTGAGCCTGACAAGTTCCATAGCCTTTCCCTGACTGACTCCATGTTTTCATCCATAAAGTGAGAACATTAGTGTTGTCATCTGGTCGGGCTGCTATGAAGATAAAGTGGTTAATGGATGGCATTTAAATCTTGCCCGACACAGGGCAAGTACAATGTTGTAAAGCATTTGATCATAGTATTCCCTCCCTGAAGGTCATGGGCAGCAAGATCTGCAGCAAATATAGTCTTTTGGTTGGTTGTTTTGGTTTTGGTTTTTCGACACAGGGTGTCTCTGTGTATCTCTGGCTGTCTGGCTGTCGCTCTGTAGACCAGGCTGGCCTCGAACTCCCAGAGATCAGCCTGCCTCTGCCTCCCAAGTGCTGGGATTAAAAGCATGTGCCACCACTGCCCTGTGTAATTGTAGTCTTTTGAACAGCTGGACAAGAGAGGATGTGACTGATAGTGTAAGAACTGGGTCCCTACCTGTTAGCCCCCTGACCGTTTGGAGCTCATACTGCTCCTCTGGTCCTCACTGTTCCTCTTCTGCAAGATAGGAAGGAGCTGGGATCTCCTGTGTCTAAAGTCCCTTCCAGCTCTGACCAATTGTGCATTACAGCCCCAATACACAGGATAACCCCACCTAGAAGAGGGTGAACCATGAGACTCTGTTCTTTCTCGCCCAACCCATCATGCCCTACAGTTCCCAAACTGAGCATGTCCCGAACTGAGATGTCAGCTGGAGGCATGCTGACATCTGTCTACATCGTCATACTTCCTGGGTCCCACTGTGTGTTGCTCTGCTCATTTGCCTCGTGTCTCTTACCCATTTCCGGGGTAAATCCCACTTGGTCACGATACGCAATTACTGTTTTATGTTGCTTGATTCTCTTTGCATGAGAGATATGGTTTGGAGTTTCCTTTTCCTGTAAAACTCTCAGTGTTGGTATCAGAGTGATTCTGGCCTTATTCTACAATGACTTCAGAAAGGGTGGCCTCCGGTCTTTTGCTGAGTAAGTTGTGAAAACGGATGCCATCTTTTCTTCGATGTGGGAGAATGCACCAGAGCCTCCTCTAGCTTTGACTTTTCCTTCACAGACAGTTATTTGCTCTGTGTTTAGGAGTCCGTTCCGAGTTGCTGTTTCTTGGTCAGTGCCAGTCTTGGGTGACTTTGTGGAGATGTGTGCATCTCGTCCATTACTGTTGATCTGTATCTGTCCTACCTCAGTACTAATCTATTCTGAAAACAGATGGAAGATGAGATAATGGAGGACCGGGGTGTTAAAACAAGTAGGAAATTGCAGTAATTTGTAAATGTGGAAGGAAAGAGGAATAGATAGAATTTGGTGCAATTAAAGCACGCAGCGGAGGGCCAGCCAGATGGCTCAGTGGGTAAAGTTGCTTTCCATCCAAGGACACAGCCTGATGACCCTTGTGGGACCCCAGAACACACATAAAGCCACCAGGACAAAACTACGTCTGCCAAGTTTTCCTCTGACCTCCACACATATGCTGTGCTATGCACACACCCATACCCACACACAATAATAAAATAATATACTTTATGTCATTTTTAAAGCACATGGGATAATTCCCTGAAGGGCAAGTTGGGATTTTTTTTTTCTGTTTTGGAGAATAGTCTTTGTTTTAATCTCTGTGTATGTGAGAATGTGTGCTTATGTTTGTGTGTGTTCACGTATGTGAGCACAGGTGCACACACTCGGCAGCACTCATGTAGACGTCAGAAGACAACTTCAACTCTGGGCTGCTGACTTCTGCCTCTTTTGAGATGGTGTCTGTTAGTATTAGAGGTTGTGTATGCCAGGTCATCTGGCCCATGATCTCCCAATGACTGTCCTGCCCCTGACTTCATCTTGAGCCTGCACTTGGATATGTACCGCCACACCCCACCTTATGTTGGCCCTGAGGATCCAAACTTAGGTCCTGACATTTGGATGGGAAGCGCTTTACCCACCCAAGGAACTGCACTAGGGGTCACAGATCTTTTACTGCTTGCTTGGCTCTCTGAGCA